GGGGGTTTGTTCTCTATGCCCTAATTATATTTTACAATATAGTGCACTATATTTATTTAGATATATGATTACTTTTTTAATAATAAATGATGGACCAACTTGCTATCCCATTTGTCTTATTTTTGTTTATTGGATGATGTTTGTAGATTATGTCAAATGGAAACTACAAGAGTGTTGAACACAGGGTTACAATAAATGCCAATCAAGAACGGTTAACCATATCGGCATTTCATATTCTATCACTTGGAGTAGTTGCACCTGTGGCAAGCATTGCAGAAGAGAGGATCCTATACAAGACAATGGGAGTAGAAGAGTATTTAAAAATCTTTATGTCAAACAAACTGGAAGGGAAGAGAGCATTGGATCATGCAAAGTTATCATAAAAGAATGAAGATTTCTCCTAGGTGGGTCAAAGTGGTTGCTTGTAAGGGACTTATACAAAGATATGCAACTCTTCTGCATGTTAAAAAAAATATGTTTATCTCTATATATTTTCGTCATTCTATAAAAGGTCGTCCGGCATGCCACATTGTTCATGTTCGGCATTAATGGTTCATGTTTATCAAGACTTTCATATTGTTGTTGCCAGTGGCGTAGCTTGGCCATGAAAAGAGGAGGGGCCAATATGTATGAAGTTCAAAGAGAGGGGGCAGATTAGTGTTTCATCACCACTTAAAATGGTCAAACTAAGACTTTCATTAAGGATGTTTCTAGCTTAGGGGGCATGGCCCACTATGGCCCTCACTAAGCTCTGCCACTAGTTGTTGCACTAAGATAGAAACATCAATCCTCTACACCTTTCATCACTATGGTACATTTAGAAGTGATAGTGGTAACACATCACCACTGTAATCCATCACCACTGTAATCCATCTAAGAAGAACCAAATAATGGTATTAAATGTTACCAATATCAGTTCATATAACTTCGATGATGCCTTAGAAAAAAAAATGATACTATTTAGGTATCATGTCAATAAAGTGAGTTCGATCGTGATGTCATGTTTGATAGCAAACTTCCTATACATTACACCAAGCCAATAACTAAAATAAACAATATGTATCGTGTTAGGCCCTGTTTAAAAATCATTGATTGGTTGATGACATTTTCTCCATGACTCCTAGACTCAAGATGTATCGTGTTAGGCCCTGTTTGTTTTAGCTTGTGTATTACATATTGTTAAAATCTATGAGATTAGGGAAAGTATATTGTTTGATTGTTGCAATCTGAAACTTTTTTTCAGCCTGCAAGCTGAAATAAATTATAGGGCCTTATACTCCAATAAATAAAACGACGTTGATTATACATAATTTCACTAGTGTCGCACCACTTATATTGTCGCCTAGCCATCCCAGCTCGCATGCCTTGCCTTCCGTTTTTCTTAATCTTACAATATATACACACAATAGTACGTCATTCATTTAAGCTGAGTCAATCTCTAGTCAATTTCTAGGGATTAATCTTTACATAACATTTATCATGTGATTTAGAATTTATTGAACTTAATTGAAATAAGGTTGGAACAAGACTAATTAAATCCAACAAATTTAGATGGGTCGAGTTAACTGCACAACAAAATGTAATCCACGATCCTTTCCGAAGATCCATCAACCGTTGCCCATTATACCTGTTGTATCGTATCATTGTCACCTTGTGGCTGCTGGATTTATTTTTGTACCTGTAGTATCATATCATTGTCACCTTGTGGCTGCCGTGACCTGTGATAGCACGCTCATCATCCCCTTGGCATTACGAAGTTTCCTACAAGCTCCTAGGATTAATAAAAAGATGGTGAAGTAGCTGACAAAGTAAATCATAGATCTTGCTTGCCACTGTTTATTTACTCCATATAGACACTTGAAGCTCCGAAGGAGAACCTAGATATCCTGGCATCCGGCATCCTAGCGTGGAACGTCGTCCAGCGGCGAGAATGGCCGGAGGAGGCGGTCCAGCAGCTCCAGCCCGCGGCACCCGCATCGTGCTGTTCCCGCTGCCGTTCCAGGGCCACATCAGCCCGATGCTGCAGCTCACCAGCGCGCTCCACGCGCGGGGGCTCGCCATCACCGTCCTCCACACGGCGTTCAACGCGCCGGACCCCGCGCGCCACCCGGCGTTCACCTTCGTCGCGGTGCCGGACGCCATCCCGGAGGCCGTGGCCGCGACCAACAACGGCCTCGCCGAGCTCCTCGCCCTGAACGCCGCCATGGAGGCGTCGGGGCACATCCGGGACGCGCTCGCGTCGCTCCTTGCTGCGGACGAGGAGGAGCCCCGGCTGGCGTGCCTGATCTTCGACTCCACCCTCACCGCCGTGCACAAGGCCCCGGCTGGCCTTGGGCTGCCCACGATCGTGCTGCACACCAGCAGCGCGGCCTGCTTCCGTATGGCCAGGTCCTACGACATGCTCCTCGACAAGGGCTATATGCCATCGACAGGTTCGGCAGTTTGGCACCAATAATACTGCCTCTGTTTCTAAAAATATTTGGTGATGTTTTATGAACGAATTTTCCATGAATAAAGCAGCTATGACGCATCTAATCCAACAGGACCGCATTACATTTTGTGTTTCGTTTCAGAGTCCAACCTACACATGCAGATAAAGGAGCTGCCACCACTGCAAGTGAGGGATCTGTTTGACCCAAGCAAGCTCCCCAACGAAGAAATCGGGCAGAAGATCTTGAATCTTGCTACCGAGACCACAGCAAACTCCTCTGGTGCAATATATATTCAACACATTTGAAGCACTTGAACCCCATGAGCTTGAGATGATCCGGGACGAACTTGTCCATAATAGTATTCCACCCTTTGCTGTTGGTCCACTTCACAAACTCATGAACTCAAGCGGCGATGGCGCCGAGACTAGTCTACTCAACCAGGACCGTGATTGCATCGAATGGCTGGACATGCCGGCCCCTGGTTCCGTGCTATATGTGAGCTTTGGTAGTGTTGTTCATGTGACCCGAGACGAGTTTTTGGAGATGGCATGGGGCTTGGCGAACAGCGGCAAGCCGTTTCTTTGGGTTGTTCGGCGTGGCCTCGTGCTTGGGGTGGAGAAACAGGAGCTCCCGGATGGGTTCATCTCGGCGGTTGAGGGTAGAGGAAAGGTGATCGAGTGGGTGCCGCAACAGGAGGTGCTAGCTCACCCTGCAATGGGGGGCTTCTGGACTCATAACGGATGGAACTCCACGTTGGAGAGTATGTATGAGGGGGTGCCTATGTTGTCGAGGCCTATCTTTGGAGATCAATTGCCAACCGGAAGGTACGTGACGTGCATGATAAATGGAAGATTGGGATTTTGTTGGAGGGTGTGCTAGAGCGAGGGGAGGTTGAGAAGGCCATCAAAAGGCTGCTAGAAGAAGATGAGGGAGTTGAGATCAGGGGAAGAGCAAAGGTATTGAAGGAGAAGGTGCGAATGTGCCTTGAGAGCAGTGGGTCTTCTCAACAGGCCGTTGATAAACTGGTGGATCACATACTTTCCCTTTGAGTTTTTCTTTATAGAATTGTTGTCTGTCTACGGTTTCAGCTGAATAAATTAACTACTGGTGTTTTGTCTGTTGTTTGTTTTCATTTTGTACAGTAAATATGCACAAAATGAACATCAGCAAACTGTCCAAGCATTACAGAACTTCCATGAAACAAATAGATTCGGTCAACAACAAAGACCAGTTAGTCAGATGACATGATCATGAATAATTTCTTAGAGAGGATGGTGCTTTTTTGTGTGGAAAATCGTATGATTTTTCTTCTCATGATAAGCACTCTTTGTCCTTGAAAGCAACCATAGCTAGATGTTTAGTGTTCATAAAGATGGAGAATCCATTCCACATCCGGCAAATGATGCCTATTGATATTATATAAGCTGACAGCTGACAAATAATATATGACGTTTTTTACATTTTCTATGTCTTCGAGATGCAATTTTTGACAATGATTTTTCTGTCAACATATTGTTATAGTAATGTCTAATAAATGTTCTTCATGACGAATCGCACATATCATTTTTTGTCTCCAAATAAACTAAAATCCTGAGATCTATGAGTGGAGAAATTCTTAAAAGTTTGATTGGATTTTTGTCGAAGTATCATATATTGGTCAAAAGTATCTCCAAATAAACTATATCAAGCGACTTAGTAACTAAAGTCTATCACAACTGATACAGATAATAAAATCTATACATGAGTATTGTGATAGAATATAAGCAAGCGATAGAAAACAAAGACTAAAAAAGGACTTATATTGGTTTTAAATTTATATGTACATTTCTAATACCTATATCATTTAAAATTACTGGGCTAGTCACGCTAGTTCCAACAAATGCTAATCAACCAATGTTATGCGCACAATTCATATGAGCCAAAATAAATTAATCTTAACAAAAACCTGATGAACAGATGTTAAGCATACATTTCACAGACAAACACTAGGACTGCATATATATATCTGTTAGATGACTAGGTTGAAAACAGAGGACGTGTCCACAGCGTGTGTTTTAGCAAGGTTTAATCAGTGCAAGGCAAGAAACGAGACCAACAGAATTAACAAAGTCTTTGACAAGGCTGAATTCAGCAGTTCCAACTTTTTCAAGACATCAGACAAAGGGTAACATTCATTCATAACAAATGAACGCAAATGTTGATCCAACAAACTAATAGTAATACGATGGTAGCACTAGGGATGTATGGTCGAAACTTGACTCCATTCTGAGAATCACATACCATGCGACATGACGAGGCCTTTGAGGTCACAGGTGAGCTGCTTCTCATTCTCGTGCTTGGGTTCGTCGTCGTCATCGCTGTCAGACCAGTCTCCCAGCGTCAAATAAGGCCTGCGTCAATGGGACAGCCAGCACAAATGAGGGATCCAATATAATTCAAATGCAATGGGAGAAAAACAAAAGGAGAATGGAAATCGATGGACTGCATATGGGCTGTGCCTGACTTTGCAACGTCGTCGAGGTTTTCCGGTGGGATGTTGGGGAGTAGCCCCTGCAGCATTCGCATCATCTACTCCCTGTAATACATCACGCCGCGTGAGTAGATCGACTTCAACGTGATTCCCCCGAACTTGACGCTGCCCGGCCTGCCGACGTCAATGACCATGCGCTCAGAGTACTGGTTGCGCCAGCCCAAGAGGCGCAGCCTCGGCGCCCGCAGCGTGAATGACTTGTAGTCCGTGGTGCCTCCAGCCGCACAGTCAATTTCGAACTGTATCAGCTCCGGGGCGTCGATGGTGATGACTCCGTACGGCGCCTCGGTGTCTCGACGGTGCGGTGCGACGTCGACAGAGTCCATGTCAAGGAACCTGAGCCGCGGCAGGCGGATGTCGACGCGGGCTTGTCTGATCTCGCAGCAGAACAGGTCCAGCTCGTCGAGAAGCGGACACCAAGCGCCCGGCGCGAACGGGGCTTCCACGGTGACGCTGTTGAGGTCCAGGGAGACCAGGGACGGGAGGCGCGGACACTCGCTGAGCACCGCGTAGTCGAGGCGGAGCTTCCGCAGGGCGGCTGCGCCTGGCCCGGCGATGGTGGGCGCGAGGTGGCTCCTCGTGATGACTTCCAGCTCGCGCGCCGCGGGGGGCAGGTCGAGCGACCACGCGTTCCGCGCGTCGGCATCGCTGGCGGCGAAGGGTGACAGGAAGCGGATCACGCGCGCGTCGGCGAGCGCGACGATGCGGGCGGCGTGGCGCCTCATGCGGCGGTCGTCGATGTCGGAGACGAGCCTGAGGGTGTCAACCTTGGACGAGGACGCCTCGAGCGCGCGGCGGCCGAGCGCGACGCGGACGGCCAGGATCGAGTCCTCGTCCAGAAGGCCGCGGACGGACTGCGCCTCGTCGAAGTAGATGTCCCGGAAGGAGAGGAACGCGTGGAGGTAGATCTTGACGACGGGCGTGTGTGTCAGCGGATCAACGTCTCCAACGGCTAAGAGCGCCGAGTCTTCAGCATGCCCGCGTCCAACGCCCGCGTCCAACGCACTCCCGAACGGTTTCGCGCACTCAGCTCGCCAACTGCCTCCGCAGAGCGCGCTCCGTCGCGCACACACGCACGCCCAGTCTCCACGGCGCCCGCATCCTGCGTTCATCCACTCAGTGTATAGTGCGTGTGTGTTCATGGCCAAAGGCCCTTGTAACCTATATATGTAAACCATATACGATCAATACAAGCCGTCGAGTTGGCCTATACAATTCTACATGGTATCTTTCGCCTAGGTTCTTCTTCTTCTTCCTTCAACTACTGCTTCCGCAAACCCCAGCCATGTCTGTCCACTCCGACTCCTCCGATGATGACTCCGAAGTCATCCCTGCCAACGCCGATAGGATTCAGGGCATCTCCATTCGCCACCATGTCCCTGTCATCCTCGACATGGGACGAAGGCAACTTCGCCGATGCGCGTCTCTTCTTCGACTCTACCCCGCAAGTTCGGTCTTCAAGGCCACGTCCGCTACGTCACCGCCGATGCGGACCGCACTGGCGAATGGCGCATGGTCGACGCCTGCGTCGTCAACTGGATCCTCGCCACGGTCTCCAAAGGCGTCTTCGACATCATCCGCCGTGACCGCCACGACGCGTTCACTCTCTGGAACGCCGTCATCGGCATCTTCCAGGACAACGAGCTGCAACGCGCCGTCTACCTAGAGGCCGAGCTGCGAACGCTGCAGCAAGGCGACATGACCATCAACGCCTACTGCACCAAGCTCAAGCGGCTCGCCGATCAACTGCGCGACATCGGCCACCCCGTCTCCGAGCCGAGCCAAGTGCTCAACCTCCTCCGTGGCCTCAATCCGAAGTACCGCTACGTCAAGCCCGTCATCACCTCCAAGTACCCGCCTCACACCTTCATGAGCGCGCGGTCCTTTCTCATTCTTGAAGAGCTAGGCGCCGATCACGACGCCAACACCGAGGCGACCCAGGCTCTTGCCGCCTCCCACGGTGACCGCCCCGGCGGATCCTCCGGCAACCACGGTTCGTCCTCCGGATCCACCGACGGCTCCTTCGGCTCTTCGGCACCGCGTGACAACAACCGCCGCAATTCTAGCGGCCGCCCCAACAATCGCGGCGATCGGCGCCGCGGGCGCGGTAACGGCGGCGGCTCGGCGCGCGGCGGCCATTCCTCCAACACCCAGGCCGCCCCGTACGCCGCCGGCTACAACCCGTGGCAGGGCATGGTGCAAGCTTGGCCCATGCCCTTCCGGGCCCCTGGCGCTGGCGTCTTGGGACCTCGGCCACCGTTCCAGCCTCAACAGGCCATGACGGCCGCTCATCATCAGCCGTTGTCCGGCGCTGCCAACCCCTACGACATGGCAGGCCTCTACGCCGCGCTCCACTCCGCCGGCGCGTCGTCCCAACCTCAGACCACCTCCGATTGGTACTTTGACACCGGCGCCACATCCCACATGTCCTCCTCACCTGGTAACTTTCCCAACTCCGTTCTTCAACCTTTCTCTTCCAAAATCACAGTGGGCAATGGTGCTCAGATGCCGGTCACGCATCGCGCACAAACAGTCATTCCTACTGCCACCTCTCCACTACATTTGAATGATGTTCTTGTATCTCCTTCACTCATTAAAAACCTGATTTCGATTCGTCGCCTCACACGCGATAATAATGTTTCTATTGAATTTGACCCTCCTGGTCTTTCCATCAAGGATCTAGCTTCCGGCGGAGATGTTCGATGTGATAGCCGTGGTGATCTCTACCCTCTTCGCCAAACAACATCATCAGGCTCTCACAGCAGCTTCATTGGCATCCCTGTGGCATCGTGGTGGGACATCCCGGTCTTCCATCACCTCTCATATTTTACTGAATTTTTCATTCCAGTGTAATAAAGTCGATGATCACTCATGTTCATCTTGTCGTTTGGGCAAACATCACCGTTTACCTTTTTCTAATTCAAGAACTTCGATCGTTTTCCCTTTTCAACTCGTTCACTCGATGTTTGACTTCACCGACATTCGGTCATTCGGGTTCAAGTACTATGTTGTTTTTCTAGATGACTATACTCATTACTTGTGGGTCAGTGCCCCTCCGCAACAAGTCTGCCGTTTTCACACGATCAAATCCTTCATCTCATATGTACACACCCGATTCAGATCGCCTATCCTCGCCTTCCAGACGAGATAACGGTGGGGAATACGATTCCTCGGCCATCTTTTGCTCCTTTCCTCCCACGGCATCCAGCTCCGCCTCTCGTGCCGTGATATCGCCGCAGCAGAAGCGGCAAAGCCGAGCGTGTTCTTCGTGACTACTAACGATTGTTTGCGCACCTTACTCATCCACAGTGCAGCTCCCTTGCCGTTCTGGGCGGAGGCCCTAGCCACGGCAGTGTACTTGATTAACAGGCGCCCGTGCCGTGCTACCGGCACCACCACCCCCTACGCCCTCCTCTTCGGTGTTCCACCTACTTATGACGAGCTCAAGGTGTTCGGGTGTCGGTGCTTCCCCAACCTGATCACGACATCGCCTCACAAGCTCGCCGCCCGATCGACGCCGTGCGTGTTCATCGGCTACCCGGCTGATCACCGGGGCTACCGCTGCTTCAACCCGCCACCGGACGCGTCATCACCTCGCGTCCACGTCACCTTCGACGAAGACGTCTTCCCGCTTCGCGACACCAAGAACGCCCCGATGTTGCCCCCGTTCCTTGGGCTCCGGTGTGGCGCTTACGACGACGATGCGTCGTGCCCTCCGCCGCCCATGGGCGCGCCACCGTCCTTGGCATGCGTAATCGCTCTTCACCCGCGTCGGCTGCGCGATGTTCGTGGCGCTCATCATCCGCCAACGCGTCGACCAAAGCACTACTTCATCGTCGACCACGACACCTTCGTCAACACCGGTTCCAGCTCCACCGACATTTCCTACAACCATGCCGAATGACCGTGCTCCATCACCGAAGCTCTCCTTCGACACCGTCTGCGCCGATCGCGACGACGCCGTCCACTATCGCGCTCATTGGCCATCCGATGGTCACTCGTGCCCGCGCTGGCATTACCAAGCCCAACCCGAAGTATGCTTTGGCGACCACGGGATCCATCTCTCCAATCCCTCGCAGTGTTCGCTCGGCTGTCAAGGATCCCCACCGGTATCTTTGCGATGAAAGCCGAGTTCGGCGCGCCCAGTGCCAACCGGACTTGGTCCCTCGTACGCGACCAACGGTGCACGCGTGATCACCGGGAAGTGGGTGTTCAAGCATAAATTGAATCCCGACGGCACCCTCGAGCGCCACAAGGCTCGGTGGGTCGTTCGTGGGTTTAATCAACAGCGGAATTGATTTCGGTGAGACCTTCTCGCCGGTGATCAAGCCGACCACCATTCGCACCGTTCTCACACTCATTGCAAGCAAGGGCTGGCGGCGATCATTTGGATGTCTCAAATGCGTTCTCGCATGGCAACTTGCGTGAAGCGTGTCTACTGATCAACAACCGGCCGGGTTCGTCGATCCAGCTCGGCCGAACGACGCTCTCGTCTCCCTAACACGGTCGCTTCTACGGACTCCGTCAAGCTCCTGTGGCGTGGTTCGGCGCGCCGTCGCAAGACGTCACCTCCCTCGGCTTCATTCACCCAAAGCCGATACGCCCCTCGTTCGTCTCACAAGAAGCACGGCTCCACGGCATACCTCTTACTCTCGTCGACGACATGATCTTGTCTGCGTCAACAAACGAATCGCTCCGCCATATCATCAAACGCCTACATGATGCCTTCGCCGTCAAGGATCCGGGACCAGTTCACCACTTTCTCGGCATCAACGTTACGTCGCAATGCCAATCGGATTTTTCCTTTCGCGCAGCCCGGTATGCCGAGGACTTGTTGAACGCGCCGGGATGGCGAATCGTAACTTTCGGTTCCTACACCGGCCGACACGAAGCCTAAGGCGTCCACAAATCGAAGGCACACCGGTCGCTGATGTAACATCTTATCGGAGTCTTGCGGTGCTCTCAATACTTGACGATCACGCGTCCCCGACATCGCGACGCCCGTGCAACAAGTTTGCTCGCATATGCACGCGCGCCGCGTGATGTGCACATGACTTCATTGAAGCGCATCTGCGGTACATTAAGGGCACGGCTACTCTCGGCGTCGGCTTCGAGCCATCAAGAGACGCCGACGATCTCGGCCTACCGGACCTTGATCGGGCGGGTTGCCGGACACCCGCCGGTCCACGCCGGGTTCTGCGTCTTCCTCGGCTCTCGCTCATTTCATGGTCGTCCAAGCGGCAAACTACGGTGTCCCGATCCAGTAGCGGAGGCGGAGTACCGCGCGCGACAACGCCGTCGCCGAATGCTCCCGGCTTCGACAACTCCTCGGTGAGTCGCTTTGCAAGGTGCCACACAGCGACGGTGGCATTCTCGTGACAATATATCCTCGGTGTACATGTCTGGAACCCAGTCCACCATCGGCGCACCAAACACATAGAATCGGACATCCATTTTGTCAGGGGAGAAGGTCGCCGTCGGTGAACTTCGTGTCATCCACGCCCGAAAGCGCACGGCAGCTAGCGGACGTCTTCACCAAAGGGCTTCCCTCGCGCTCTTCTTCGACTTCGCGGCGTCTCTCTCTCCGTCCACACGAACGGCGACGCCAAGACCGAGGGGGTGTCGGCGGATCAACGTCTCCAACGGCTAAGAGCGCCGAAGTCTTCAAAGATGCCGCGTCAACGCCCGGCCCAACGCACTCCCGAACGGTTTCGCAGACTCAGCCGCTTAATCGCCTCCGCAGAAGCGCTCTCGTCGCGCACACACGCACGCGCCAGTCTCCACGGCGCCCGCATCCTGCGTTCATCCACTCAATGTATAGTGCGTGTGTGTGTTCATGGCCAAAGGCCCTTGTAACCTATATATGTAAACCATATACGATCAATACAAGCCGTCGAGTTGGCCTATACAATTCTACAGTGTGGAGGTGGATGTGGCGCCACGCCCGGGACAGCACCGTCGGTACCGTGACGGTCTCGTCGAACGAGAGCGGGGGAGGCGATTCTGGCTGGAGCTCGAGCGGCGGCGCCCGTGATGCTGATCGCCGCCGCTGAGCTAGAGCCGTGGCGATCCTAGCCTCCTTGCGCTTGCTCCCCACTGCGCCGATCCATCTTCTTCTCACTCGCCGCTGGCTGCCTCTCTTCTCCCTTTCGTCTCCGAATCGGTGGAGATCGGGATCGGGAATGAGGGTAGTTTCAGAATTTAGTTTTGGAGGGAAAGAGCGAGCCCTTGCAACTGCTCCCGCCAATTCCAAAGTGGGCTGCGTGACAAAGCCCACGACGCAGCGTGCAAATGGGCAATGGGGACGGTTCTTTTGAGTCAAAACTTTTTTAAGATAGACCACCACACTAAAGAGTATAAAGTCCCCTAAAAAAACCCAAAGAGCATAAAGAAGGAAATATACATTGGTAGGTTAAGATGGTGATCATAATCCTAGATCATAAAATATTCTTTTTTTTCAAATGTAGTCTATTTTAGTTTTGATGTTATGCTTTAATTTTTTTAAGACGTTATGCTATAAAAATTGCGTCCAACATATATAACCCTGGCTCTATTTTGATATCATAGTAATTATGAGAATGATATCCAAGTAGGTGGGATATAGCCATATAGGAGATTCTTAGGGGCCGTTTGGCACAGCTTATTGGACAGATTCATGAGCTGTTTTCTAGCTCTCTCAGTCAAACGGGTCCGAGCGAAAGCGCTTCACGCGTGAAGCTCCGAAAAAACCGGTGAGACAAGCAATCAGCGCGTGGTGAAACCAAAAAATAGTAGCTTGCTTGTGCTTCATCAGACATCATGTGGGCCCAGACCCTTTTGCCCATGCACACGTGGCGATGGCGAGGCGGAGCGCGTGCTGCAGCGGCGACACAACAGCGAGGCCGAGGTGGAAGGAGAGCTGCACCGGCGAGGAGGAGCACAAGCGCCGCCCGCAACGACAAGGTGGACGCTCGGTCACGGTCCGCTTTGGCGACGCTTGGCCGCGGGCCATGACGGCGACGCAGAGCACGGGCTGCACCGACGACAAGACGGAGCTCGGCGCGAGCTGCACCGGCGAAGAGGTGGAGCTCAACGCGAAGCCAGCAAATGCCGTCGCTTCGGCCGCCACACACGAACGGTTGCCTCAGAGGCTCAGACTTCCACCGTCGCCGCACAGGAACGGTTCATCAGTTCGTGCGAGTGGATAAGGACAAAGGTAAGAGAAAGTAAGAATAATAAATAAGGAAATAAAGGAGAAGAAAAAAACAAAAAGGAAAAAGGGTATTATCGGGTATTAGTATTAGGGCTACCCAAAGAATGAATCTGATGACCGCGGACGACAACTCACCTAAATAATTAAGGACGTATTTTAGTCTCGAAGGGATGGTTTCCGCCTCGCCAGACCCCTCGAGTACGGGTCCCGTGTCACCTGACCCCGAGGGTACGGGAGCCGTCTCGCCTGACCCTGAGGGCACGGGCTCCGTCTCACCCGACCCCTTGGGCGCGGGCTCCACCTCGCCCGGTGGGGTCCGTACCGCCCCAACCACTATGGGTCCAAGCGTGTGGGCCTGGGTCAAGCCTCTGACACCAGAAGGGGTGGGGCACGCCTTGACGTGACCCGCGGCCAGGACAGGCCACGCCCGGGGGTTCGAATCGCCAACAGTGACGGCTGTGTGGGCTCTGTGCTGTCTAATCCCCATACGGCCGCTGACAAGCATGTCAGTTCACCACACCGGCCGTTGGGATGGGATGGAACGCCACGACCAGCTAATGACGTCGAGGCATAGCACCAGTGATGAACAGGGCCCGACGTGGAGCCATCCCCGTCACCATCTACATCGTCGACGAGACCCGCATGAAGGAGAAGAAGGACGCGGCGGTCCTAGAGGACTTCTTCTGCTCGATTTTCTCCCTCTTTCTCTCTCTCTCTCTCTCTCTCTCTCTCTCTTCTCTTTTTCTGATGTAACCTGCATATTCCCCTTCTTCTATAAAGGGGGAACCCAACACAACACGAGGGTCATAGGCACGAGCACATGGCTGAGCAGCTAAACAAACGCTCGGTAGTTTTCAATCCTTCCACCAGAGACCTGGGATCCGCTCCCTCTCTCGCCCATCTGTAACCCTTAATATAGACAGTGCCGGTAACACGAGCAGCAGACTAGGTGTAGGGACGTTCTGCCCGAACCAGTATAATCCTTGTGTCCTCTGAGCACACCATCCGGGCCAAACGCGCAAACTAGAAATTTACTAGCCGGTGATCTAAAACACTGACAGTTGGCGCGCCAGGTAGGGGCTTTTTCACGTCTCGACGTCCACATTAGGCCTCGGATGGCTAGTCACGGCGTCAGCTAGGTCCCGGGCACGCACGTGCGCTTCGGAAGCCTGGACTTCATCGTCACGATGGAGGCAGAGTTGGCGTAGGCTCCTGCCGCCGTCCAGCCTCTCCACTCCACTGGCCTCGACATGATCATCGAGGCGCTTGAGGATCTGTAGCTACACGCGCTGGAGGCCCATGTCCCCAGGAGCGACCGGCTCCTCGGCTTCGACTATGGGAGGCTGAAGCGCCAACTCGACGCCTTCCTAGGACCCTGACCATCCCGAGAGGAGCTACGCTGCCTTACTTTCTCCTTTGCCAACGCCAAGAAGCAACTCGCCGGAGGGGAACCGCTCTCCCCGGAACACCTCACCTAGGGCGCTCCGACAGCGTTCCTGTTCGGTCTGCGCAATGCTGCGGGGACCATTGACCACCTCGTGGCGCAGTGCATGCTCCCATCCCCTATGAACAACGAGTTCATGGGGATGACTGAATACATCGTGTAATCTTTCCACGACCTTCTCGCAGGAGATTCAGAGTCACTCTCCAACTCTGACTCCAACAAGGGGAGTTATCACCCCTTACGAGAATGTTTTATGGCAGGTACCCCCGAGGGACGCGTTGAAAGCGTCCACGAGGAAGGGGCTACCCCACCGAATGACCTTGACGATGAGGTCAAGGAAGATGCAGGGGGGCTTCCTCGCATGCGGGTGGAACAGCTAAGGGCGCGGCACCAGGAGCTCGAGGATGCATGACTCCAACTCAAGCAGGAGAGCGCAGAGCTCGAGCGAGAGATCGAGCGCCGTGGAGATGGTGGGCTTACGCTCAGGG